CTACTTTCAATATCCTGAATGCTATCATGTATGGTCTATAAAATTGCATGCTCATAGTTTCCCATCTTTTCTCAAACCCGAATTTATTCATTCCATGCACATTTTGTAAGTTTAAATTTTGGACTTATCGTCGGGGATCAATACATAAATAGTCCCCTCTCCTGGGTACGTACAAACATAACTAGATAATAAGAAACGTTCTGCTTGACTGGCTGGACCCGGTCCTGCAGTTTTCCAACATCCGCTGATGCTTCGGCGGCTTTCCCCCGATCCGAAGTCAATAAACTGGGATATAGAAGATATTTTTATTAGCAATTTGTCTGCTTTGAATTGCAAACAAGCTTTTTAGGTCCTTCCGATGAATGCATTCGCGGACTTGATTTATATCAACGATGTTACAGAGCATTTTGTCCCGCATACAATTTTAAAAAATAAAAGTAGGGATCCGATTCGGATTTTGAGGATACACGTTGGATATTATTGTCAACTGGGATTTTATTCTTTTGTCATAACAATGGTGATTTTTTTTCAATTTTCTCATAAAATCCATCTACTGGATTCCCCTTGCTTTGGTGCTTCTTCAGCATCCTTTAGTAGATAGAAATAGTAAACGTTAAGTAACCACATTATCCTGATTATCTATTCGAATAATGCAGGGGAAAATAATAATATTTTCATTATACCTACAACATATTTGCAATTTTCGTTATTTGTTAACTGCAAAGAATTTTCTATACATGCATGATGTGAATTCCATCAGGTACCTATGAGGTTCTTCATGGCCACATTTGAACTCTACGTAATCTGTAACGGGTCATCAAATGTATAATTGCCTTCTACCATGGGACTTCCCAATACAACGGTATTTAGTTAGGTAACGGTTAGGTGTGATAAGTATAGACGACATTGTTACCAGAGGGTAGTAGGACGTAATGAGGAACGTTGGCAGAAGATGTAGTGGGACAAAACGGGCATTAAAATAAGTAGGTAATAGCAGCTGCATACATTGTAATTCATTAAACAGCATCCCCCTCCCTCTAATGATAATTATTATCCTACACTGCGGCAAGATGCTGGCCTCTTTCATTAAGCACCCTTTTATTTAAGAAAATATTTCCCTCATTTTAACACCTTATGCTCTCTGCAGTGTAATTCTACAATCAAAAGCAAGCCAACATAGTATACATAGATTTTCATTACATTTGAAGTAGGTAAGAACATTTACAATGAATGGACTTTAAAGAATTCTGTCATGATCTTTCATCATAGTATACCTATGTTCACTCTTAAATCAGAGATGCCGCTTCAATGCTCCATCGGCAAAAAGTGAATACAAATACTCTTAAGAAAATTCTTATTTAAAACTGTTTCATATTACATTCAAAGTACGCATTCTACTACCCCAAAATAATACTGTCAGACTCTTCCACTATCCTTCTGCGTTATCACTCTTTATTCTATCAGCAATTAAATTTAGAAACAGGCACTCGTAAGAAGACCCTTACTGAAAATTGTTATACATTAAATTCATAGCAGTACTGATAACAATCCTTGGAGAATACTGTGTTAGGCTCCTTCACAATTCCTTTGCTTTCAGTCTTTATTTAGATGTAGCGCTTCGATTCTCTTCATCCTTCATGATCTAACAGCAATTAACCTTAGAAACCAAAACCTTTAACAAGACCCCAATTTAAAACTGTTTTATATTACATTCATAGTACACATTCTACAGTATTGACAATTGTCATTAAAGAATATTGTCAGATTCCTCCATCATCTTTCTGTGTTTTTAATCTTTATGCACCATCCTTCTGCGTTTTCAATCTTTGTTCAGATGTGGCATTTTATGATCTATCTTTGTATTATATTCACAGTATATATTTTACAGTTTTGAAAATAACACTTAGAGAATCCTACAATATTAGTCTATTCCAACATCCATCTGTGTTTTCACTCTCACTTCAGATGTGGTGTTTCATGATATATATTCGTATTATGTTATTATTACACCTTCTACAGTTTTGAAAATAATCCTTAGAGAATACTGTTAGTCTACTCCAACATCCATCTGTGTTTTCACTCTCCATTCAGAAGCGGCGTCTGGACTTCCTCATCCTTAGAGAATACTGTCATTCTATTCCCACATTCATCTGTACTTTCACTCTTTAATTAGATGTGGCCTTCCGGCTTCCTTACTATTAGAGAATACTGTGAGGCTCATCCATCATTTTTCTTCGGTATTATTCTTTCTTCAGGTATGGTGTTTCATTATATATCTTTGTATTTTGTTATTAGTACATTTTTTACAGTTTTGAAAATAATCCTTAGAGAATACTATCATTCTATTCCAACGTCCATCTGTGTTTTCACTCTCTATTCAAATGTGGCGTTTGAACTTCCTTATCCTTAGAGAATACTGTGAGACTCATCCGCTATCCTTCTGCGCTTTTACTCTTTTTTCAGATGTGGCATTTCATGAAACACCAGCAATCAGCTTTTCAAACAAATGCCCTTAAGAAGACCCTTATTTAAAACTTATTTATATTACATCTGATGTGTGCATTCTGCAATATTGATAACTATCCCTATAGGTTACTGTCAGATTCTTTCCTTATATTTCTGTTTTCACTCTTTAATCAAATGTGACGCTTTGATTCTAATATCCTTAGAGGATACTGCTAGATACACCATCCTTTCTGTTTTACACGTCTGTAGCTTACACTTTCTAAATAGATGTGATTAACTTTAGAAACGAATACTGGTAAAAAGATCCTTATTTAAAACTATTTTGTAATACATTCATGGTACGCATTCTACAGTATTGATAACTGTATTTAAAGCATAGTGTCAGTTCACAATTCTTTTGTTTTCAATTTTTATTTAGATGTGGCGTATCGATTTTCTTATCCTCAGAGAATACTGTCAGGCACACAGACCATCCTTCTGTATTCCAACATTCATCTGTGTTTTCACTCTTAATTCAGATGTGGCATTTCTACTTTCTTATCCTTATAGAATACTGTGAGATTCATCCACTATCATTCTGCGCTTTCAATCTTTGTTCAGATGTGGCGATTCAAGATTTCTCTTTTTGTATTACATTCAAAGTACATATTCTACAGTTCTGAAAATAATCCTTAGAGAATACTATCATGCTATTCCAACGTCCATCTGTGTTTTCACTCTCTATTCAAATGTGGCGTTTGAACTTCCTTATCCTTAGAGAATACTGTGAGACTCATCCGCTATCCTTCTGCGCTTTTACTCTTTTTTCAGATGTGGCATTTCATGAAACACCAGCAATCAGCTTTTCAAACAAATGCCCTTAAGAAGACCCTTATTTAAAACTTATTTATATTACATCTGATGTGTGCATTCTGCAATATTGATAACTATCCCTATAGGTTACTGTCAGATTCTTTCCTTATATTTCTGTTTTCACTCTTTAATCAAATGTGACGCTTTGATTCTAATATCCTTAGAGGATACTGCTAGATACACCATCCTTTCTGTTTTACACGTCTGTAGCTTACACTTTCTAAATAGATGTGATTAACTTTAGAAACGAATACTGGTAAAAAGATCCTTATTTAAAACTATTTTGTAATACATTCATGGTACGCATTCTACAGTATTGATAACTGTATTTAAAGCATAGTGTCAGTTCACAATTCTTTTGTTTTCAATTTTTATTTAGATGTGGCGTATCGATTTTCTTATCCTCAGAGAATACTGTCAGGCACACAGACCATCCTTCTATGTTTTCATTCTTTATTCAGATGTGGCGCTTTATGATCCATCGGCAAACAACAAATATCCGTAGGAAGCCCTTTACTTAGAACTATTTTATATATTATTCAAAGTATTGACAATTATTCTTAGAGAATACTGTCATGTTTCTTTACCTTTCGTGTTTTCAGTTTATATTTAGATTTGGTGCTTCAATTCTCCATCCAACAATTAATTTTAGAAGCAAATACCTGTTAGAGGACCCCTATTTAAAACTGTTATATATTATGCCAAAAGTATGCATTCTTTATTGATAATTATCCTTAAATGGTACTGTCAGAATCTATCACCATTCTTCTGTGTTTTCAGTTTTTATTCAGACGTGGCGCTTCGATGCTTCATCAGCAATAAATTGTGGATGCAAATACTCGTTAGAGGGCTGTTACTTAAAACTGTGCTACTATCAAAGTACGCAGGTCTACAGTATTGTCAATGATACTTACAGAATGTGGTTGTATTCGTTCAGTATTTTTCTGTTTTTCACTCTCGATTCATATGTGGCGCTTCTATGCCACGACAACAACCAATTTCAGAAGCAGTTGTCCGAAAGAGGACTCGCATATACAATTGTTTATTCATATAATTTGCAATATTTCATCGTATATGAATATATATACATGTATGGATGTATATATAACAGTTCACTTAATGTCTGAATCTTAGAATATATGAAATGCGTTGAACTCAGAAATATTTTACCAAAGTCTAAATAAAATTTAATTTGGAAATATATTCAAAATACTTCTGTTTTGTTAAATTTATGAATTTTGTTATATTTTGCCGTATATTTTGTTTGTACTACTTAAATAAATGCAGAATAGCTCATTTAGTACCCAGGATACTTAAACTGGTTTATTAAAACACAAAATATCACATGTATATTTTATTTACACATTACAATATTAATTGATTGAATTTGAACACATATCTGACAGGTAATCTTCGATAAGATCTATTAAATTCCTTATGATCTCTAGTATTTTACAGCAACCGAAGTACAACAATCATGTTTAATATATTATTATAAAATGTGTGGCTAAATTTTTTGGCGTAATAAAACAATGTTGTTTTTTAACTTCTCATTTAAAGACGTGCGTCGTTATTTACAAGAACAAAAGTTCATTTTTAAAATTGTCTCCACTATATTTTATATCAGAAATTGCTTTTATTTTTAACAAGTATATATATATATATAAATATTGACTTTGACGTTTACAGTGTGCTAGGTTTTGAAATGAAATTGAATAAGGAAATGCATTAGATGAACGTAAAATGTTATTAATCAATTTCAAAGTCCGTTGATACCTATATCAATCGAATAATTGTAAAAGATTCGTGTAGATATTTGTCTACCTAGAAATGCTATCAGCTGTGGAATACGCTTCTAGCTTAGTGATTATTGGAAAAAAGGACTAACTCCTAACTGTTTAACATTCAAGTTGCGTCGAAACGATCCCAATGAGCCTTCACTCCGTTTTATAGTCGAAAGTTGAACATTTTCACAGAACATTTAACTAGCATCCAAAAACCCTTTTAGTTTTCAAAAAGTTGAACGGCAATTTTAAGTAATCGGAAAAGTTTTGTTTTTTTTTCTATTCAAATCCAAAGAGATGAATACACATTTTTGTTTTCGCTTCTTGGATAGTCGAATAACAGAAAGGACATTGTGGAATCAAACAGAAAACATCCAAAAATGCCTGTAAAATAATCCGTCAGGTACAATGGACACAGAGAAAAAAAAGGACCTAGAAACCTCTGCTTGTTAGGGTCATCAAAAAAAAAGTGGTGAATTAACAAAGCAGGTAGTTGATCTCAAATTGATTTGAGCTTTCCCGAAAATCATTGATATAATTGGTGATTCTCGAACTATTCCAACCGTCTTGGCACCTTGATTGAAGCATCATGCCATCACAGTTTCTTTGAATCGAGTGGAAAACATCTTTAGGAGTTCTTCCAAGTCGATTTTGACCAATCGACTCAGCAAGAAGAACTCATGAAAATGTCGTCTACGCTAGGCGACATAATGTCGAGGACCAAAGGCCTTATCATGTTAATGGCTTACATATCACCAATTGTAATTGTGAATATGTACGGACAGCGTCAGCGTAGGGAATGCCATGTGCAGATTCCTAATGCTAATTGAGGGAATCAGTGATGCTTAACAAGAAATAAGATTTTTTCGAATATCTAAACTTGTCAAACTGAACATACATGCTAGCTATGTAATCAAATAGAGTAAAAATATCTTTCAGGTCATTGTTCAGTCGAATCTGTCAGATGCTAGTGTGTAGCGAATTTTTAAAATGGTGTCCATGGTGTTGTTTAGTGAAATTAAATACACCACCAGTTGAGAATTGTTCTGCTTGGCCACTTAATTAAATATTTTATATAGACGATGGTGGGATAGTTTCTATTAAAAGAACACGTCTCAAACAGTTTCTCGAAATTCTTGCAATTAGAAATTACAAACACGCTTTTATTTCTTTCTCTTTCTTCTTCTTTGATTGCGCGCTTTCAAGTTTTAATTAAAACTGTGTGAAACTAAAATACGTGTTCGTTTAAATGTAAATTTCACAACGTCGAAGGGAAAGAAATTGTTGTAAAACGTGCTAGGAGGGTGGCTTGCAATTTAGCTAAACGTTTACTCTGTTACCTCTAACATGGAACAAGCCAAAATAACGAAAGCAAATGGCTTACATAGAAACGAGACGTGCAGACATGCACTTTGTTAGTTACATCCATGTCCTTATAGTGTTAATATAAGTTCTGCAGGAGACATGGTTTGATTAAGAATCAATAAAAGAAACGTTTTGGAGCATGGTCACAATCTGTTAATGATTGGGCACCTAAGAGACCAGTTGGCAGTTCTTTTGAATTATTAGGGAAGCATTACGAGGAACCTGTCCCTTTTTACAGCAAGTATCTATCATTTTAGATGTTTGGATTTTCAGAGTAATACCACTGATGGTATCAGTTTCATTGAGCATTAGATGCAAGTATAAATAATTAATTGTCTAAGGATTTCCTTTAGTTTTCATTGTTCGCATTCATTAAACAAAATCATGGCTAGGTCCATGTTGGTAACTATTGTTCAGGAACGGAGAAACAAATCATGACTTACTTTTAAAAGAAAAATTACTGCAATGTACCTTATGATTGTAATTTCTGTTTCACGAAGAAGAAATTGTAAATATCTACTCAGTGGAAACCCATTTCTCTTTCCTAAATCCCTATCAGATATCTCGTTTCTTCAGATCATTTTATTGAATTAGGGTTTGTTACCTCTTGGAACCCTTAGGTATTTTCAACCAGTTCTTCCAAAAATGAAACTAATTTGTATTAAAGGCTAAACTTTATCGAAATAAACACGATATCATACTCAATGCTGACTTAGGTATCAATTTTAATTCTTTATGTTGGTGATTTCAAACGCGTTATTATAAATTACAATGGACATAGGACACAGTGATTATCTCCAAAGCTCAAACATTTACATACATAAGTAAGTTAAGTATATAGTGAAACAATTTTAGATTAGGGGTGATGTTTTAAAAATTCTTTAGTACATTTTTCTTTTTTACTCTCATGAAGGTACATATAATTTGCTTTAATTGTTTAATAACATTTAGACTTTTCTGTTATTTTTCAATAAACTGTTGACGATGCTCTACTCCGCTATAGGCAATGAATTTTAAGTAGTTACTTATAACTAAAGCAGAATTAATTGTTTCAATTGTATGGTGATACAAAATCAAACGGTATCAAAAATAAAATAATGGTAAATTAGGTCCTACTTCTCACAAACTGTTATTTTTTGGTAAAAAAAACAAGGATATCACTACTTACAGGTATTTAGTATTTATAATTAACTATTTATTATTTCTATACAAATTGAGCATGAAGTTATTCAATTAAATGCATTTTTATTTAAACAAAAGAATGGCGAGGAAAATCAATTCGAAACGTTACAACGTTTTCTTTCTCGCACTCTATGTACAGCTTACCTTTGTTTCAAATTCATTTTCACATTCTATATGATCAAAAATTTTTAAATAGGCAACGAATTCTTTAACTGAAAAATGAACAAACTTCTCATTTTTCGTATCATTCCAAAAATAACAAACAGTAGCTTTACAGTGATAAAGTTCTAAACAAGGTGTAGAGTGATGCAGCTAAAAATATTGGGAGAGATTAAGAAATTCAAAATATAGTAGACTAAATATTGCTAGTTGTATCTCAGTAAGGAAATCTTTTTAAATTTTAAAGTGTTTCAAAATATTGACGTCCACAATTCCTAGTTAATCGCTCATATGAGATGAAAATGATAAGTAACATTTTGCTTACATTATTTAAAATGTAATAGTAGTGATAAAAACCATAAAAGTTATGTACATATCGGACATTAAAAATGTTGCATATGTTATTCAATTCAATATTATTCTAGTTAGTCTCTTTAGTAATTTCTTCAAACAACTTCAATAAAATTTAACACCATCGCGATTCGTAATAACAATTCACTAATTTCTAAACTTCAACAACAAAACGTTACATTGTACAAGCAGTTCATATTGTAACAAATTTTGTAACAAGCAAATATTTAAATGAATACTCTCAATTCGCAAAACCACTTAGAAGAATTAGTTAGTTAAGCCACTTATACAGAGTACTTCAAAAACGCTGCAAAAGATTTCCAAAAATAAATATTACCTAGCTGTTAATTAAATATATACAAGGCTTCGTACGTATAGGGGACAACCTTCCAACTACCTATGGTCAGCACCATCCACAGTGCCGGTTTTACCACTACCAGCGCCCTGGGCGAGATTTCTACGGCGCCCTCCAACTACAATTCAAACCCATAGGAAAAAAGGGAAAGCATATAATGAAATAACCATTTATTAAAACAAATAATTATTTATTATAAAAAATAACCATTTATTAGAAACAAACTAATAAAATTTTACTTTTCTGGCCTTTCTAGAGTCTACAGTTAATTTTAATTGGAGATCACTACAGAGCTTGACGAGGTCGGGTTTTTCTGGAATTTGTTTAATATTGTATAAAAAAGACCAAGATTTCGAGTACTCTCCGCTTAATTTTGAGAATGAAGTGGAGGGCGCCTGCGGCGCCCCTTTTGTCCGGCGCCCTGGGCGATCGCCCAACCGCGCCCTACCCTAACACCGCTACTGACCATCCAGAAAAATGTAAAAATCCCACGATCTAGAATAATTTGGATTTTTTTTGCAAATTGGTATTCCAATTTTTCATGAGCATTACAACTATAATTGAAACTCACGGGAGCTATAGGTACCTACACAAATTCCAATGGATCTGTGAAACCACAACTGTTAAAGAATAGTTGGCAAAAGAAGTCCCAGATTGCTAGAAGGCTATGGTAAAAGCGAACGAATCCTGAACTGAACCGGTGTCCTTTCAGCTGCTAGGATGTGGTTGGCCTATAATACATGTACTACTTCAAAATTATTTTTCTTCTCATTGGCTGATGTTGATGGGCGGACTGTTGCACGAACTTTTGTAGACTATGATGCAAAGTGGTAGATAGGGAGTAAGGTCTTCTTCGGCTTCCTTTAAAATCGTGGGAATGTGTGGGTGGTGGTGGTTATGGAGGGATAAACCAGACGGATCAGTCAGATGAAAACATCGGAACAATGTAAGACTCTCTCTGTGGAATAGGACTGGATCAGTAGGTATCTGTGTCCACACGAACTAAAGAAATCACAGGTATGTTTGAATAAAGGTAGGCGATCCGGGAATTGAATTGTTTTCCTCTCAAATGGTAAGCTATGATGAAACATCTAGACCATGCTACTCTATTGACTCCTCTTAGGATTCAGGTACTTGTTATGTAGTGGCAGAAAATGGGGAAGTAGGAGGAGAAACAGCCCAAAATTGCTAGAAAGCTGTGGAACCTCCACGAAATTAAATTTTCTAGTCTCCCATAGGTCTATTGAAAGGTTGTCAACTAATTACGGGACATAAATAAGAATATTTCGTAATGGGTTTTTCAAAACAAATGTTCATTAATGTCACGTGGCGGTGGTGATTATGCCAATGAAAAAGAATTGCCAAGCCTTATTACACTTTTAACAAGAAATCCATTAGGCAGTCTTTTTGTAATCCTCTGCACATATATAATAATAATCAATTCATTAACTATTCTATTGTTTTTTTTTCTCATTATAGTACGTACCACAGATAAACAATTGTTGCGCTATTTACAACGTCGACTAGATTCGCTCGTCTTGCGTATCTGCCAAAAGAAAAATATCTTTTACTCCCAAAGCCAATCTACGATATCAAACAAAACATTGTGTCCATCTCGTTACAACATAAAGATGCTGAAATACACCGCTTAAGGTATTGTAATATTACACGCAAGCACCTGTAGGTTTAAGTTCTTTCCGAAGAGGGCAATTTTGGGAGCACAAGACGTTTTTCTTTTATTTCGAATATTTTTATGTTATAACGAGATTTGATAAAACTCTAAACAATAACATAATATGTCAAGTCCTCAAGAGCGAGTTGATTACGTATCGGTTGCGTTTCGCTTTAAGGCTGATGACACACGTAGTGGCTTCTGCCGAAGCAAAACATCCATCGCTAACTTGCCCCTAAATTAAACAGGTCTGGCAACAAGACTACTATTGTCTTGGGGGGGGGGGCTATATTTATTATAAAACACACTTGATAGATGGAAGATCCTGTAAGGGTTTTTAAGCCTTTTCTTCTACATTTGTTATCCGAACGTTCAATTCTACCGTTCTCGGCTGTCGAAAAGATACCGCGTTGTGTGTGTATGTCATAAGCCTTAATTATTTTAGCGAATAATAAATAAAAATATTATTAGCAAAGTACCACACGACATTATAAAGAATTACGTTTTTTGTTTTGTGCTTTTTTATGATCATCCCAAATTTTGTTTGCTTTTCCAGCTATTCCATTCTAAATACTGGTGAAAGAATGTCCGAAATCGGATGAGTAGTTTTGGAGAAATTTTCCTACATCCTCTTGGCAATATTATTATTTATGTATAGAGAAGATGTGGCATATAAAATAAAATCACTATATGGTTTATGTAGGATCGAGAAATGGAGAGGATAACTTTTTAATTACCCACTTAAGCTTTGCCCATGTTAATTAATTACTAGGTCCATTTAATTTAATAAAAAAAATATTGTAATTGACTTTGTATTTTGAAATGAATATTATTGCTTGTAATGAATATATATGTGTGCATTAGATTGTCATTCTTTCAATACGTACCTAGCCCTCTTAATGAAAATGAGAAATAAGTGATTGATTAACAGTAAGTACGTATAAAGCTTAAATGTACAAAAATGGTGATTAAATACGAAACCGAAAATAATTTTGCTTTGTCTTAAACAAAGGTGAAAGACCATTTCTGATTTTTTTATGTGACATTTTCACAATGCAATAATATGCCACTATCGAATGCTAGGTTTTGTATATCAGTCTTTCTATTAATGTTACACAAGAGGTGCCTATTTCTTTTGGACACCCAGTAGGTATATATCTGTTCCTTTAACTTTTACATTATGAGGTAGGCATTTTACTAAGGGCGCATGAGCGATTTGAGCAATGTGGCGTGCCTGTAAAGCAAATGGCTGCAGTAAACAAGTTGATGCATTCAATAGGAATTTTTGAAGTTGCGCAAGTGGACAGATAAATACGGTTTTAACATAGACTTCTAGAACAGAACTGAGTAACAAGAAAACTACCTATTGAAAGTACTAGATAAACTGTGGCGAAAATAAATCTGATCGTAAAGGGCAGGGAACAAAAAAAAAAGCAACTCGGAATATCCAGTTTTGTAAACCATTAAACTTTAGCTAATTGGTATTTGAACCGTAAAATAATTTTAGTATACAAGTGCTTTTATTCAATTACAAACATTTTAATATCGGTTTTATGCCATTAATTAAATTTATAATCTCGTAATTAGCCTTTAAAACGGAAATGATTCAGTAATGTGGTTATTCAGCGAACGATATTTCCAAAACCATATCTGATCTGTTCATGAAAAAAGAAATTTTTTTATTTATGTTATCTTAAAACATTGATGAAATGTACTTTTATTTCGGCGACTGTGTTTGACCAAAGAAGAAGATCGTATATTTACGCTTTAACCAACGATTTTAGATCTAAAAGCAAAATAGAACAGACAAAGCAATTTTGAAAATTTCTGTCAAAAATGTATTGTGGCTGTTATCGTACCAGCAGCTATGCTTTGATGATTTTCGACGCAAACATTTTTAGACTGACATACAGTGGATGTCAAATTGAGTTAGACAGGCATGCACCTGGAACGTATTTCTGAATAACGTTTTAAATGCGAGTTAGGAACATGTTCAAACCACGCCAATAACTTTGTCAAAACTCTAAATTCGAAAAGTGCCCATTAAAAAAAATATAGTTTTTAGTTATTGAAAATGAAAAATTGAAATTGATTACAGGTAGAGGTAGTTTAGAATCTCATGGACCTTAGGGAGTGGTCCTATTAAATGTTTGAAATGGCGTTCTAATATTAAAAAGTAATATTGCATTGTTCTTCTTGTGAACATATTAGCACGATGTTTAACCTACTGATTGATTGTTATGACATTATTATTTATCCATTAGTTTGAATGTTTCGGTTTCAAGTTAGAAAAGTAGCAACTGCAACTTGATAGTGATATGTTTATATATGTCGCTTTATACGACTCCAAATGTTGATGTTGTCCAAATTGCTTTTGGACACAATTCCAACAATTTGGCGAAGATTATCACGCAAATTTGATGACTGACAACAGTCACTGGTTTTGCTTTATAGCACATTTCAGGATGAATTCAGTTTTCAATATTCTTTTACCTTTCACAGAGACGTATTTTGATATTTAGACTTTTAGAGCCTACAGTGTTCACCATATTTAATATCTTTTGTTCTATTTTATCTAAAAATAAAATATTTTAGCTTCAATCTTTTGAAAGGGTTTGTTAATAAAATCTTCATTCGATTAGGAAATAGAGGCATTGATGATCAAGCAGATAGCAATTAATTGTTAACTATTGATCTCCAGTCAAGTGAATGAAAGTGATTATTTCATACTTTACAAATAACTTTCGCTCAATTCGTTTTCGGACTGACTCGCTCTTGAGGACCGCGTACACAATGACGTACCGCCAAAAGCGGAATCGGAAGTGGCCGCGTCTGTTATGAAGTCGGCTATAATGATGTTACTTCCGTTGTCCTTACCTTGAGTCAGGCTAACGGCGGCCGCTGCGACGGTTGTCGTTGATAGATACGTAGTCGTTACGAGACCCTCCACTTCGCCGCACTTGGTGTAATCCTTTTCAGACAATCGCTGCCGAAGAAGTTTTATTCGTTCTTCTTTCTAAAACACCAAAGAAAATGGTGAAAAATAACTTTGGAAACAATGACTCTCACAAATTAGGTTATCCAGTTATGAGATGGTTACCGCATCTAGGCTTTCAGCATTAGATGCTCTAATATGGGAGCTTCTAGCAGAACGAATTGTTTCAATACGTTGATATCCGATCTTCACTCTTGTTCAAAGTTAGTGGTAGTGGGAAGGGCAGAAGGACCTCTTCATTCTTCCTTGGGAATCGTGGGAATGGGTGAGCGGTGATTGGGGAGAGACAGATGAGACGGGCAGGATGAAAACAGAAGAGGAGGAAGAATTGTCTGAGGAATGATACAGAACCATGATTTGCCATAATTATCCAAAGAAACCAGAGAAAGGCATTCGTCGAAGCAGATGAATCCTGAACTGAACCGGTGTCCTTCTAACTGCTAGGATGTGGTCGGCCTATTATACCTATACTACTCTAAACTTATTTTTCTTTCTACCGGCTGATGTTGATGGGCGGACTGTCGCACGAACCTTTGTACACTATAATACAAAGTAGTAGATAGGTAGTAAGGTCTTCTTCGGCTGTCTTTAAAAATCGTGAGAATATGTGGGTGGTGGTGGTTATGGAGGGATAGATCAGACGGATCAGATGGAGACATCATAACAATGTAAGACTCTCTCTGTGGAATAAGACTGGGTCAGTAGGTATCTAACAGGTCAATTGAAAAGTCCCCGGCCTAAAATAGTAAAACACATTTTTTTTGCAAAATTCGTTTTTTTTTTTATTTAACATAATTCCCTTCAAGGGTGATACACTGATTATAGCGATTCTCCAACTTTTCGATATCATTTTTGTAGTACGATTTGTCCTTTGCTTCAAACTAGGCCTCAGTTTCGGCGATCACCTCTTCATTCGACGAAAATTTTTTCCCAACGAGCATTCTTTTGAGATCTGAGAACAGGAAGTAGTCGCTGGGGGCCAGATCTGGAGAATACGGTGGATGCGGAAGCAATTCGAAGCCCAATTCATGAATTTTTGCCATCGTTTTCACTGACTTGTGAGACGGTGCATTGTCTTGGTGAAGCAGGACTTTCTTTTTCTGCAAATGCGGTCGTTTCTCGGCGATTTCGTCCTTCAAACGGTCCAATAACGCTATGTAATAGTCGCTGTTGATGGTCCTTCCTTTTTCAAGGTAGTCAATGAAAATTATTCCACGCGCATCCCAAAATACAGACGCCATAACCTTGCCAGCCGACTGTTGCGTTTTTGCACGCTTTGGAGCGGGTTCATCGTGTGCAGTCCACTCCGATGACTGTCGATTGGACTTCGGAGTGAAATGATGGAGCCATGTTTCATCCATTGTCACATATCGACGCAAAAACTCGGGTTTATTACGCGTGATCATCTTCAAACACTGCTCTGAATCATCAACTCGTCGTTGTTTTTGGTCAAAAGTGAGCTCGCGCGGCACCCACTTTGCACAGAGCTTTCTCATACCCAAATATTCGTGAATGATGTGATGTATACGTTCCGTTGATATCTGTAGAGTGTCTGCTATTTCATTCAATTTCAATTTACGGTCATTCAAAATCATTTTGTGGATTTTTTTAATGTTTTCGTCCGTAACAGCCTCTTTTGGGCGTCCACTGCGTTCACCGTCTTCGGTGCTCATTTCACCACGTCTAAACTTAGCATACCAATCCTTGATGGTTGATTTTCCTGGGGCAGTGTCCGGAAATTCGTTATCAAGCCAAGTTTTTGCTTCAACTGTATTTTTTCCCTTCAAAAAGCAATATTTCATCAACACGCGAAATTCCTTTTTATCCATTTTTTTCACAATAACAAAACTTGCTTCACTAAAAATGCTATAATTCACAAACTATTGATCCGATAGCCCTCAAATTTATAGACGCGTCTTTTGAAGGTTAGGACTAACTGAAAATCATATGGATTTAGTTCTGGTGCCGCCATCTATGTGTCAGGCCGGGGACTTTTCAATTGACCCTAGTATGTCTCCATGATCCAAAGAAATCACAGATATGTTTGGATAATGGCAGACGATCCGAGAATTGAATCGTTGTCTCCTCAAATGGTAAGCTATGAATAAACATCTAGACCATGCTACTCGATTGACTCCACTTAGGATTCAGGCACTCGTTATGGAGTGGTAGAAAATAGGAAAATAGATGACGGAGGCAGTAGAAATATTCGTGAATTGTGCAAAACTTCTTAGACGATCAGTTACTTTTGCAAATGAATATCTACATTCACATTGGCTATAAATGTTATTGAATTTGACTTCTTGGCCAAAATTATCTGTGGTAATGGTTTTAGATTCTTTACAGATTATATAGAAGAATTTGAATTACTTAATAGTAGTACAAGCAGTTATTGATGATATACAATTAATCAAAGCAGTTAGCAGCCTGTTCAAATAATATCTTGTGTTCATACAAATATCCAAATGGATAAAACCTCTACCCAAAAGCGTCTCCTTTGAAAATATATATCCGGATGGACACTCGCTTTTCCAGGTCTTTGACGATTGCATATTTTCAATTGTCCGGGAAAGAATTTTTCACGCTTCCCTTCTCGTAAAACTGCCTCGTAAAAGTTTTCCATTCAAAAGCAAAAAAGTACGAAATTCATCTTGACCGGGATAACCGGAGTATAAAATTGCAATGCACTTACACACACACATGCAGGTACGATGTTAAATGTAGTAATGTAATATACATTCGTCAAGAAGACTTCGTATGAATTTGAAATACATATGTTTGGAAATCTTTGTCCATCTCCTTGTGAGTCATAAATCTGTGGTTCGAGGGGTAAAGGAAATGCGTGATGAACATCCTAGAATAAGTTGACGACTAAACGGGCTATAGGGATAGTATATGGCTGTGACTGCGTCTAAAAGCCCGCTGACCTAAAATTTCAAGTAATTGTGGCGAAATAACTCTAATTGTTTTTTTTTGTATGTAAATATTTTTTCTAATTTTATTTCATTTCAAATATTATTTCATTTCAAGTATTATTTCAATTCTTTTCAATTTCTTATCTTGTAAATACTTTGGTTTCCTTTCAATCTAAACTCTATTGTTCTTTCAATCACTTTTACCTGGAAATCCAACTTCAACCATACCTGNTAGACCATTGCTTAGCATTCGGGAGGACGCCGGTTCGATTCCGGGTCCGTCTGCCTTGGTCCAAGTTTTTCTGTGGTTTCCTTGGATCACTTAGGCAAATGCTGAGGCAGTAATATTCCACAGATAATCTTTCATTCTTTTCTGTCTTCATTTCATCCGTCTCATCGTTCTCACCCGAACCACTACCCACCTATTCCCACGATTCCTGAAAGCAGGCTGAAGAGGGCCTTCCGACGTAGTCTAGAGGAACTGTCCGCCCATCAGCATTACTGACTGGTGGGAATGAAACACCCAAAAGTTTCTTATCTCAAGACAGTCTCTCGTCTACCGCCTCTACTACAATTTGTAAGTGTTTCTGCTTTTATCTGTATTGTTTTCATTTTTGTTATTGTTACTGTTTTGTTATCTTGTTCTTTTTGCCACATTGTTCTCGTTTGCATGTTTCATTCCCTGTGCCTTTTTGTTACTTGTGCTTTGTTATTGTTATAAATTGTTATTTGTTGTTAGTGTTTTCTTGGTACTTAAACAATTTAATACCAAAAGATACTAAATAATAGTCCAGAGGAAAGCCGTGGCTAAAATATAAATGTTATGCACCAGTAAATCGACAACTGTATCATCATCCCACTAAATTTGGGCGGATTCAACTAGTATATTAAAGTATAAGGAATCGTATCTTTTACAATGGCTTTTGCGTTTGTAGGTTGTAGCAAAGGTGATTTGCTCACTTTCTAATAAATACTGTAATACGAAAATATATTTAGACTGAGTTCAGAATAAAATTCACATTTGTCATAAATAAAATTTTGGGAAACTCGGGAGTCGTAAATAAAACTGACGTGTAATCGTATTAATTATTTTAATTTCCTTTTTTATTTTATTTTGAGAAGTGAAAAGAACCTTTCAATGTGTTTTGTGTTATACTCCGACGGACTAAATCCAGTCTTCAATTTTTCATACACCAGGGTCAAATTTTAGAAAGTTACCCCCGGTGGGTAATTGTCGAAAAGACATTTTTTATTAAGGACCATAAATAAATCTCCTGTACGTTCAAAGGCCAGTCACGGCTATAGTACAGACGTTTTATTTTTGTCCTCCGAAAAATACTAGTTTGTGTATTATAGGTACGCATATTTAAAAGAAGCAAGCGAAATTTTTGGTTTTGAAATGTAGAAATGGATGTATGATGAAAGTTGTGGTGTTATATCATATAGGTACATCACATTAACGGTTTTATCTCCATTAGGTTTAAGTTTTTAAATAATGAAGTCCATTGTGGTAATCTTTTCCTTTTCATGTAGGTATCACAAAGAATAAGCACATATTTTTATAAATCCAATAAAAAAGCCTTTGCCAATTTAACAAACGAACTTGTTTCCATTAGGATCTCGTTCGGTATGACGATGAGCTAAAGTGCCATTAAATTTAAATTTATGTACGCGACGGTAACGTTCCGCTACGAAATAAAGACTTTCATCCCATTTTCGTCTCCGAGAACGCTTTCTATCCTCTGTCTGGTTTAATTTAAATAATGCAGCCTCCTTGACGGCAATATTCCAGCAGTCAGAACCATAAGGAGTTTTATATTTGTTCGCGAGTGAGATCTCTTCCTTTGGCTGTGTGAACGCGCCACTACGTACGGGGTTGGGGTGGTAGTGTGCTGGAAGGTAATCTGCGAAGATGTGCTTTCGAATAGAACGGACTGTTGCTCACTCCTCCAAACCAGATATTATTATACATATACGCCGTTGCTTAGGTGTGTGTGTAAAGTGCATGGAAAAATGTAAAACGAGAACGAAATTCGCTGTCGCCATTCGATACATTCTTGGTGTGTTCCAAATAAGGACTTCTTCAACGTCGAACACATTCGACAACTGTAGAAATTTGTATTATTGGAATATCAACAATTTTCAAGTACATATACACAAAATTTTTGCATTATCAAATATGTATGTGCATTCATATCGAAGTGCTTTTGAAGTGAAGCTTTTTATGCACGCTTGAGCTTTGACCATTGAGAATCCAAAGTATGGAAAAGGTTGGGCGTTACAACAAAAGAGAACTTCAGATTGGAATGCATCCCCTCTGACCTACATATAAATTACTTCTCTCAAAATCTGTAGGCTCTCAATAAAATTGAAATTACATGTAATAAGATATCTCTAAGTTCGGTTCTCAATTCGCCTGGGTTAGGTGTACCAAAGAAAATCCTCCTAGAGTTGTAGATTTTGTAACAAACAATGTCTTATGCCTTCGTTAAATAAGATAGAAAAGGTAATAATGTTGGTAAATTTTGATTCTCGATTCGAAGTCGTTCTCTGTTTTATATCTAGAGCCTTTCATTCGTTAATTTTCACTATTAATTGTCTTTCTTTTGTAACTATTTCATTTCACATCCAAGTTGTGATCAAACGATGGAACTTGTTGTATCATCCAGAATCAGTAGAATTTTGAGTTTACTATACGAGCTGGAGGATTAGTTAAATAATTGAGAATCTTCTGGAATGCTCCATCTCATCGTCTCATATCAAGCCATCGTTTGATGCGTCACATCGCTAAGCATCGAGCAGTAGCGAACACAAATTCGGACATGACCGGCTCGAACTGGTGCAATCGGATTCTTCAACAACTTTTTTGTTAGAACTACACGTGTTATCGTCTTTATACGTTTAATAAATTTATGTGCGGTGTTTTGTTGGCTTCTGGCGTCTGTTTACGGAATGATTACATATTGCAGAAACAATAGCTTTTAGTGTCCATAAAAGGTGTTGTTGCTGATTCTATTGAAACTTAACTGACTGACAAAATACGTACCATAAAAAACTAATTGTGTTTACTTGCTGCTGCAGGAATAATACCATGAGTTCATGTCTAGATGAAATCAGATCAAATACAGGTAAGTCAAAAAACACTTTTTGTGTATTTGGTCATTTTTAGATATTTCCAGCAAGAGGTATTTTACTTATTGACGATAAGGGCACCTACCTTTTAATTATTAGTTAAAACTCAATGCTCCTATGGTACTATTAATTTATTAATTAACTTATAAACATAAGCCAAATGTTAAACTAATTAATCTAAAATGTTATCCAATTTTTCTCATATGACAGAGAAATATCATACCTGCGTTATAAGCCGCTGCAGCTCCTCATTTTCGGTAACTAACTTTCTATACCGTTCCTCCTCTTCCTTTGAAATTCCATTATCCGGATTATATTTACTCTCCGCTTTATCTTTCGGATGTCTTATTACTTCTATAACCTGCGAACAAACGAAGTTAATTTGATTATGGAAATGAGCCGTAAAAATAAAGAAAACATTTACATAAAGTAATTCAAAACATCCATAAAGAAAGGTAATACCGTAAAAGTTCCTTTAATGAACACACTCCCTTTTTAGGTTAACGCGTCTATAAAAATTACATCAGCAAAGAACGTGTTCTGCCTATCCTAAATGTCGATATACTTAATTATTCTCAAAAAATATTAAATCGCCTACCGCTCTTTATTTACTGCCTATCTGCAGAGCAAAAACGGTATTATTAGTGAGCATCCCATTAAAAAAATAAAAGCTGTAGGTAGAACCTATATTCCCGTAGAAAATGGGCTTCAGTTTAGTATTTGGCCTCACGCTCACCAGGAGGTGTGAATCTTCAATGGTAAGTCCAATAGTAGAGGAACACTTTGGTCTGGGTTACTGGAGTCCATAGTTCAAAAGTTGTAAGTTACATCGTTTTCCTTATCTAACGTAACATAACTTGGCCTAACCAAAAGCCAAACCAAACAGCATCAATTGAGCCCGACTCCCATGACACTTCGAACCCCCATCAAAGTGTTCCTCTGCGATTTTGGCATTCCCCATAAAGAGGGTGCCCATATACTAAACCTTTGCCATAAAATCATGTCACTCCTTAATTTTGACCATTCATCATCATCGCGCAGATATTGTGATGATGATGATGATGATGCTGACCGATGTGGTTTACAAAGCAACTAGATTTACATTTACTGCTTTTTAATACCGTTTTAAGATGATAGTTATGTCAATCATTTATAAACAAGGACTAATTACCGATGATACATTTTTAAAAGCATCTTTAATTAATTAATAAATTTTGCATCCTTCGAATTTTTTGCTTCAAAGGGAGTAAACTAATTGAACATAGAAGGACTGAGGTTTTAGTTTATTATCTGACAGACTTCTTTCGTAATGTGTTGGAATGGTATAATAGAATCTTTTGAAATGACATCTCGGCAGGTGCTCGTTTCTTAAAAGAGCTTTTAGTCCTCTTAGTCCTCTAATGTAATCACTTTCGCCTTCCAAGTACATTTCATATTCGTAATTTAGGTAGCGTAGCTTACTGGTGAAATTGCCAAAAAATCTCATTCCATGTTCATCTTACCACGAGGATTATTTCTGTTGAAGACAAAAAAGGATAATAATGATAATGTGTCCGTAGTCGTAAACTCACTGAGGATTTTCATTGACAAAATCATACTTTTTAATAAGTCAATTACAAAATCTACTTTTGTTGATTGTTGTGTAACAGGACAATTGAAAAGTCCCCGGCCTAAAATAGTAAAACACATTTTTTTTTGCAAAATTCGTTTTTTTTATTCAACATAATTCCCTTCAAGGGTGATACACTGATTATAGCGATCCTCCAACTTTTCGATCACCTCTTCATTCGACGAAATTTTTTTCCCAATGAGCATTCTTTTGAGATCTGAGAACAGGAAGTAGTCGCTGGGGCCAGATCTGGAGAATACGGTGGATGCGGAAGCCCAATCCATGAATTTTTGCCATCGTTTTCACTGACTTGTGAGACGGTGCATTGTCTTGGTGAAGCAGGACTTTCTTTTTCTGCAAATGCGGTCGTTTCTCGGCGATTTCGTCCTTCAAACGGTCCAATAACGCTATGTAATAGTCGCTGTTGATGGTCCTTCCTTTTTCAAGGTAGTCAATGAAAATTATTCCACGCGCATCCCAAAATACAGACGCCATAACCTTGCCAGCCGACTGTTGCGTTTTTGCACGCTTTGGAGCGGGTTCATCGTGTGCAGTCCACTCCGATGACTGTCGATTGGACTTCGGAGTGAAATGATGGAGCCATGTTTCATCCATTGTCACATATCGACGCAAAAACTCGGGTTTATTACGCGTGATCATCTTCAAACACTGCTCTGAATCATCAACTCGTCGTTGTTTTTGGTCAAAAGTGAGCTCGCGCGGCACCCACTTTGCACAGAGCTTTCTCATACCCAAATATTCGTGAATGATGTGATGTATACGTTCCGTTGATATCTGTAGAGTGTCTGCTATTTCATTCAATTTCAATTTACGGTCATTCAAAATCATTTTGTGGATTTTTTTAATGTTTTCGTCCGTAACAGCCTCTTTTGGGCGTCCACTGCGTTCACCGTCTTCGGTGCTCATTTCACCACGTCTAAACTTAGCATACCAATCCTTGATGGTTGATTTTCCTGGGGCAGTGTCCGGAAATTCGTTATCAAGCCAAGTTTTTGCTTCAACTGTATTTTTTCCCTTCAAAAAGCAATATTTTATCAACACGCGAAATTCCTTTTTATCCATTTTTTTCACAATAACAAAAGTTGCTTCACTAAAAATGCTATAATTCACAAACTAATGATCCGACAGCCGTCAAATTTATAGACGCGTCTTTTGAAGGTTAGGACTAACTGAAAATCGTATGGATTTAGTTCTGGTGCCGCTATCTATGTGTCAGGCCGGGGACTTTTCAATTGACCCTAGTATATCTAAAGGCTAAAAATGACGAAATAAATCAAAAGAAAACGTGTGCTTAGTATCCAGGACTGAAGAGAGTACTTCTTATACCAAATTAATTGAATAAAGTAAAAATTGCATTTTTTTCATCAGTTTATAGACATGAGCGCTATACTGATGTCGTACTCCGCGTCTGCCATTCATGGAACGTACCAGGAATGGGCTGGGGATGTTTTGATTCAACGCAACCCTGGTGCACTGTAGCTCCAAAAAGCAAAGAGATTATACATATTTGACTGACCAGATACTTACTTTAGGTACAAAAATAAGGGCCATGCTGAGGAAGCAGCAAAACGTGATCGAAAGGGCTACGAAGGCATAACTGGCATCTTGCTGACTGCTGATTACCAGTGTTACGGGGGCTGTAATTAAACACAGGACGACCACGTTGTATATACTCATTCCCACGTATCGGGAATCGTTGATTTGTTTTACTTTTAATGACCTAGTTTCGTATGCTAAAAATAAACCGAATACCTAAAAGAAAGCAAATGAAAAATTTAAATTGAAAAATATTGATGATGAGTGTAGAGTACATAAATGATGATATGCAATATTTCATCCCATTGGACTAAAGAATATTAGGCTAAGGCTCCAGTTATTATATTAGATAATAAATCACTATTTTCAAAGGAATTGGTAGATATTGAAGGCAAATAGTTATTTAGGAAAGTAGCTTCTTGTTATGCTATGTTATGTTCGTTCTGCCTGGCTGATGGAATCGTTTCATCCAAAGCTTCATTACCGTTGGAAATTGTCAGAAATCATATACTGTTTTTGTAAACTAATAAGTAATTTGATGCCAAAGTCCTCTACAATTTTTATTTGAAATTGTACATTCAGTTTTCGCGTGAGTGTATCACATTGCCTTCTTGTTAGTGTTAATGCTCTGTCGTCTTCCTTCTGGAGTGGACACAAACATTTCTAATTCACGTTTAGATAAATTTCTGATTAAGAATATAATCGCAAATTGGTTCAAGCTTTCGCGATGTTGATTGATGTAATTGGTAATTGTCGACTCACGTGGACGTCATTTTCAGCAGTTTTTCTTCTCATGGTGCTCGCTGAAAATCTTCGACTGAGAGGAGCAATTCCTGAAAATGCTGTACACGAGAGTCGATGAAACGTTGGTGTCAGGAAGCTTTAATCAACAACGACTAGAAGGTTCTTATTATTCGTAATGGAGATCCAACATGTTCATTTAAATTAATCGCCCTGTACATCAGATTTCTAAAAAAGTTTGCATTCTGAGGAAGTCCCTTAAAGACAGCCTCCCTATTCAATATCAGTCCCATTTATACTACCAGCATGGATATATAAAATGGAGGAGGCAGTAATGTTGACTTACTAAAATCAGTCCTTTATAACCGTACATGACTCCTAGCCATACGGTATTGTTTTGGCTTTCGCAGTGCTCGAGTTCGGGTCGGATCTTGGAATCGTCGGCCGACGACTCCGGTTCCTCGAAAGAGAACAGCTCGATACGACGCTGAAGTGGATCGTAAATCTGCCACGCAAGCAGAATAACGAAATCGATAACCAACAGTCCCGATATCATCGAGTATAACTTCCACGGCTGCACTTTTTTCTGGAACAAAATTAAAAAGGCCGCGTTTACTCAATTGGATTGGGACTCGGATAACTCAAATCAGAATAAAAGAGAGAAGTTAAATGATGTTAATCGAATAAAAACAAAACAGAAATAAACGGACTGCTTCTTTCGGCCGATTAATTTTTCTTATATTCTTTACGATCCAAAAGGACTTGCACCCACTTGAAATTGAAATTCGAATAATAGACTATTGGAAAATATTATCAATCCATCGTCATTTAATTTCAGGAACTATTAATAAGTGAAAAAAACAATTCTAGTGAAAAGTAACAAAAGTAAATCTAAAATATAATATCAAGATCAAAATCAAGCACAAATTGTTTCACAAATTAATTAGTCATCTTTATGAGTACTACATATTACCTTATTAGAAAGTTCCACCTGCTATAACCGTACCTAAGCTCTTAACACATAGCATTCGAGAAAACACCATAACCTAACCTAAAGCCCAAATACTCATCCACATACTTAAAGTCGTATCGATTTGGCTTTTCTGACTACGTCTTCAAAATTTCAAAGTTTTAGTTAAATGACAAGTGGTTTGGGTTGTGGGATATTTTACTTTACTTACTGACACAATATGACTCTGTCATGATGATTGAATAGGGAAAAAATCGAATAAAGATCTAACCGATTTGACACGTTTACGTAATTGGCTCTTAACTATGTAGAGTTGTTTTTAATCGTTCTGTTACGTGTGGCAGGTCTTAACTGAATTGGCAAGAAATTTCTATTCAATTTATTTAATCAATTCCCATTTGGATGATTAAAATGAATGCAGATCGGTCAACCTGTCCATTCAAACGTTCCATGTAAATCTGTAACATCCAACGGAACTGCAATGGCAGGTAATTACCAGTTCGGCCAAGCAGAATAATTACTGTCAGTACCGATCGATTTTCACATGTAAAACTTCACACACGCATGCTTTCCATTGTTTTCGTAACATATCCCTTATATATGCAGTTAAAATTATTGAGAAATCTTTGAATTTATTCTGAACGACGTAAGATTTTAAAACCCATCAGAATACTCATAATTCTACATTTAGCTTCGATGTGCATTATACAATAACAAATTCTAATACGTATATTCTGTGTTAGGAAACAGAAATACTATCTATTGTAGTGAAGTATTTCTATTTTGGGATTTCAACTCATTAATAACGTACTGGAATATTGTTTAACTATTGATAGACATCAAAACTAGTGTTCGTTATAGTTAATGATACTCTAATTAGAATACCCCAATGCACCTCTGAAGCTACAGCAAAGTTAGAGCGTGCAATGAACTTCTTAGTTTTGAATGTTTGTTCTTTGTTTGATGGTGTTTGAGTGCTAGTCATTTCGGAGACAACATAAATCGGAGAGCTATGAGGTGACAGGTGCCTAAATTCTATTGGCATACGTGTAATTGCAGTTTTGCAGCTTGTCAAACTTATCACTGTTTGGGCGCCACCCATCTTCACCCGAAAGGCCTCACACTTCTACGCCTTCTATGCCTTTTTAGTATTTCTATACCATCTTATATTAGGTATCTGCTAGGGTAAAAATAAAAACGACGCAACTTTTTTTTTTTAATTGTTAGACGACAGATTTTAAGACCGATATAAGGTATTAGTAATAGCACAAACTGCCAGTGCTATTTACCACTTAGGACTTATCACGGAATGGTTCTGTCTTTGTTATGAGCAGGGCATGCAAATGATTTCTTTTGGCACACTTGATTCCATGAATCCACAATTGGACTAAATAAACAGCTCGAAAGTGCTTTGCATTATTTATTTTACAGAAGGAGAAGGTTAGAAGCGTTCGAAATGTGGTATTACAGGAGGATGTTGAGAATACCGTCATTAGAGAAGGTTAGAAATGTGGAGGATCTAGATAGAGTAGGAGAATAGAGGGCACTAAGGAAGTTAATAGGAAATTGACGAGATAGGTTGGTAGGACACTTATTCAGACATGAAAGACTAGTTACAGGCATATTGGAAGCAGAAACCGGAGTTAAGAGGAGTAGAGGTAGATCTAGATTAGAGTATTGTTCACAAATATTTAAGGATGTGGGATGTTCTAGTTTTAGGAAAATGCGAAGATTAACTCAGGATAGGAAACAGTGGAGGTGCGTGTCCAATCAGATGTAGGTCGACACTATAATGATGAGATGTTTTGAGTGAGATTTCTGGAATCTGTAATGAGTAGCATCAACCGGTAAAGAAAATTTGTCTCAAAGAGGAATTTAAGGTTGTTCTACCTCTGAAATGATTTTTAAAAGTTTTACTTCAGAAAAGATTTTGATGAAATAAATTAGGGAATTAACAAAAACCGAAGTAATTGTATTACCTTGAGAAGTCGTTGACTTACTGTGCTATTCAGATTGCTGTAGAAGTTTGTCCGGCTTCCAGCTAGCACAAAGTTTCGATTTTAATGCGGGTTAAGCAGAGATTTCTAATAAGAAAGTTTAAGTCGTTAGAAGAATCTGCAATAATTCCCCAAATTGATGCAAATGATGTTTAAATTTAATTACACCCGAAGGACGAGAGCTCTTCACGTTTAGTATCAGTTTAAGTATTCAATTAACCAACAGAAGTAACATGAATTTGCATAAACTCTGGCAGTCGTTATGAATAATTTGAATTTTAAATTGACAAAGAGAAAAATTAATATTACTTTTAGAAAAATGAAAATAGGATTTTTATAAATTTTATATTATAATAGGAAGATTTTTAATTTACATGCTTCACAAACATAATTTTTCGTGGGTTCCCACGAAAAAGAAAAACAAATTATGTTCGTGAAGCATGTAAATTAAAAATTAAAAATAATCTTGCACAACGACAACCTTTTTCAAAAAGTCCTAATTTTTATAACACAATTGAAAGCCTCAAAAGTAATTAAGAAAAATTGGTCTGAGCACATTTTGGTCGGTGCTAATACGACTAACTTCCCATTAGATAATACAGTTATTGTAAAGTACATTCGTTTCTAAAGTTTGAAAAAAACGCGGCACAATAATAAATAACAAACAATGTTTGAGAGTTCGTCATTTTATAAACCCATAAGAAACAGTATTTCGTCTGAGAAAACCGAATTGATAGAGTACTTGCATCAGTCAATTGGTAAATACTATTTTTTATTGTTTATCGATTGTTTATAACAATTCATTTTGTTATAAACAAATTTTTATTATAATATGTTATTATAATATGTTATTCCCTGTCTTGAATAATGATATTTCGTTATTATTGATTCCGTAACTTCATTGTTGTGATTAGATTAGAACGTATTTTAATTAAATTGTTTGTAATTAATTCGTTTTNATGTCACCTATAAAAAAAAAAAAACAGAATTCCAGGAGCAGCCTAATATAATTCCAACTACTTTTCAGGGCAGTCAAAACAAATTATCCGCTCTTAATTAGAATAAAATTATAGCATTGACTGTAATAAAATAAAAGTATTGAAGTTTCATGAACAAAAATGAAAGACTTCAATAGTTCTTTTTTTAAATTTTGTTTGGGGCAGTCTACACGCATTACATACCTGCCAAAATATTATTCTTCTGTGATATATAAAAGGGAGTCTACTCCCGTTTAATGAATAAATAATAATAATAAATTGAAAATTAAGAGGAATACTCACCCCTAATTACCACAAATAATTTTATTTGAGCGGACACGTGTTTCGCTCGCTTCATATGTGGGCATTATCAACGCGAGACTGGTTCTGGGTAATCCCACATTACCCTGTTTATATTGTTTACCTAAGATCCATAAGTCCGGTAAATCGATGAGACCAATAGTTTCAGATATCAACTCACCGATTTACTTTCTTTCAAAATTTTTAACAAAGGAATTCAGCTCTTTACCTGTTCCTTTTGATTCATTTTAAATTGAAAACTCATTAAAAGTCATTAATAAGATTACAAATATAACATTAGAACCAGGTGAAGTCTTGATTTCCTTTGACGTTTGTTCTTTATTTCCTAGTGTTCCTATCCCTGAGTCTTTGAAATATTTGGAAACACATTTAATCAATAATAACATCAATGAAGATAAAATGGAAGAGTTTTTAAGATTAACTTCATTTTGCATGGATAATACATTCTTCCATAATAGGAAGACTACAACAATATTTTGTATTTTATATCCATAAATATTAGGTATATGAAACTAATTTCCCTTTCAAATCCCTTTTTCTGTATCTTCCCTAAAGTTGAACAGGTCCTTCCTCTCTTCGTTCCGGTTTTGTACTAAAGTAGACCCACAAAAGTTTTTTGTTTGGCTGATTCGACAGCCGTATTTTATCACTTTGTACTTTCTTCTACTTTATACAATATTTAGATGCATCCCGAATGTCAAAGTAATTAATATTTAAAAATTAGAACAGTTAATCAACAGGAATCCTAAATCTAATAAAATGCAATTTTTTTGTTTACTTTACATTCTTGAACAGTCATTGTTTCAATATCAAGAATGATTGGTTGTCTCTAATTTGCAGTTCTAGATATTCACTTTTGGAAATCGCTCGAGAATTAGAAGATCGAGCTTTTCTTGCATGCATATAAATAGCTCCTTACAGGATCTACTAAAGGCCTAAAATTAAAAGTTAGGTAGATTATACCATTGTTGTACCTTGCCATGTTTACTACTAAATTCTCGAATTCATTCAAGGTACAAGGAATAGTTCCTTTGTGAGATTAGTTTGACTGTGCTTTTGCCGTGTTAAACCAAAGGCAAACAATTAATCTAAGACTAATTAACTAGTCCTTGAGACCCCTGGTTAAATTACTGAAGGATCTATTTGCTGTGTAAATTATATGAGCTCGTCCGAAACTGTGTGGACTACGGAAAGTTCACTAACTCTGAATATAAATAGTGGATGAAGAATCTGAAAGGTATAATGAATCCTTAAGTGACTTAATAACTTACATACAAATTTAGACATCTTTTAGAAGTGAGTTAATTTAATACGAAGTATT